GCATCCATGAAAAATCAAACTAAAATTGAAGAAAACATAACTTTGTGAAGCTATTTCATTTTTGTATAGGTTTTAATTACATCGGTTAATTTTTTTGTATTAAATCAATTATAATTCCATAGCTAAGCCATAAAAAGATACAGAATAAATGTTCGAACATTATATATTTATTTCTAAAAGTAAGCAAACATTTAATAAACAATTTGAATACAACACAAAAAAAAAATAGTTAAGTTTAAAAAATATATATCTACAAGTCCAATCTATAAATGAAATAGATGACTGTTACTTGTATTAATATTTCAGCATTTATTTAATAATGTATTTTTTAAAATCATATATTCTTAAAATTCATTACATAATTATCGTAAAAAAATTAGGCATTGCCAGTCATAATAAAACTATTGCGACATGAAAATCCTTATTCGTTATCAAACTTAAAACAATTATCACAATGAAACATTTATTTTTGTAGATAAGACCATAATCTGGGACGGATGAGACGTAAAACGTCAGGCGCCAATACCGTCACGATAAAAAGAAAATATTCGAATTGATTGGCAAAACCAAAATAATTTAAAACATTGTATCGATTCTTATATTATTCAGTCTTAAGACTTAATGTACCGATAGATTTGAAAACCTAATTGAATAAAATATATTTCACTTTGAATTTTGGAAGGCTATTTTTCATATTATCAATAAAAAAATGTATCAAGTTGTAAGTAACCGTTTTTGAGAGTTTGGATTGAAAGGATAATTAATAAAACAACGATTATGAAAAGATAAAATCAAGTGAAATATGAGAACTTCTAGGAACTTTTTTAAAATATATAAAAATCTGTAGAATAAAAAATCTAATTTACGATTGAACATATATTTTTCAATCATTAGATGATGAATTTCATTTTGATAATGTACCAACGAACTTTCGAGACCAATGCCACTTATCTGTATGGTAAAAATAAATAAAAACCTTAAATCAACCTAATATATTTGTAATAGTGAATTAATAATTAACTGTCGTAGATATATTGAAGAGATGACGGTTGGAGTGCTCAGTCAAATGTAACAGAATAAAAATAACTAAACTATATTTATTTTTGACAACGTTTCGGCCCAAGTTTCAGGCTTTCATCGGGGCTGTTGTTCTCACGAAAGATTCGGTAAGGCTGAGGTTTGGTTTAACCTATCATTTAACTTTGGTTTCACCAAGGATAAGATTTGGTGTTACCGAATCTTTCATGAGAATAAGATAACAGCCCTGAGGAAGGCCTGAACTTTGGGCCGAAACGTCGGCAAAAATAAAAATAAATATAATTTATTTATTTTTACTTTGTTATTTTTGACTAAACACTCCAACGTTAAGATTTAAGAATTAATTAATAATTCTGTTTGGAATAAAGAGAACAATGGTACAACCCATTTTGTTTTTCAATTTTTGAGTAATCATAATAATTTTTTATTTTAATAAAACAAAAGTTCGTAAGTTTTAACTTTTCATATTGTACCGAATTTCTTCTAAATGAACGATTATATCCATTACATACATAAACAATATATATGTATTACATACCATTGATTCTGAATATATATTTATATATATATATACTTATAAATACAATATAAGGAACGTACCTAAATTCAGTGCAAATTCTACCGAATGAATGCAGTACTCGTGTTCAGCAAAGTATTTAAGAAACGACGCGCAGGATTCTGGCATAAAATACAAGAAAATTCCTACCTACTGGATTGTTGAATTTCAAAACAGAAATATAACAAATATAGATAGCAAGTAAACTGAATATAAACGTGTATAATAAATTGAGAAATATCAACACGTTCATATACATACGCGGTTTTCCTAAATGTTTTCGTTGGTATTTTTTAATATTTAATTTTACAGATTACAGCGATATAAACATTTAAATTTGTTAACATAAGGGTAATAAACATTCATAAAACTAAGAGCGATTATAATTTAAAAAATCACATATTTTTTATTGATCTTTTAATTATATCTTAAATTAAAAAATAAACGCTATAAATTATAAGAAAGGCATATTGGAGAAAAAAAATCATAATGTCGTTGGTTCCAGTAATGAGGTTGGTGGCGCCCTTCACCCAATTAGAACAAGATGGAAGGACTTGTTGCTAAGTGCTCAAAGCTAACGAAAAGAGCTTCATCAAATCATTATCAATACTGCTGATATAATATTGAAATCCAATTTTATATCTATGATGTATTAATTAATATTTCATACCTTGTTATATTATGTTAATCAAAAGTGTGAAAACAGAACTGTTAAAAATTACTAAATTTACAATAGAGGCTGATAACCAAAAGATTATTTATCCGAAAGTGTTTTAAAACCTTTAAAAATCTCTAGAAAGGATTTTTTGTATCATTTGAATGTAGAAATAAAAAAAATAGATAAACTTATAATTTTTATTGCACAACGACCATGTTTATTATTTTTAAATTATTTATTTCCAGTTTCATAATATTCACTGAGAAAACAATAAAAAAAGAACTTTTTTATATTGAAAATTAATATACTTTTATACATGGTCACCAAATCTGCCAAAATTAAATATAATTTAATTTAGAACGAAATTTTAAAAATAGAAAATATTACGAAGAAAATTAATTAATAAGTACAAACAAATTAATAATAGTTACGCATTATTCTAAATTTTATTTAATAAAGTTTATAAAATGCTATTTAAGAGCACCTCCAAACTCTCCAATTATCAGATAATGATGTAGCTGAAAATAAATATATAATTGGCTTCAATAGCTTTAACAAAGAACTGAATAATTACACAATATTCCTTTAATATGTTTATTTAATAACCTTTGAAATAAAAAAGGTAATTTCGATTATGCTTTTTACTTTTCTTAAAACATAAGTATCCTTTTCAATTTGAAGGTAAATTTTTTTATGAGTGAAATGTTATATCACTTACCAATCTGAAGAAGCCTGTTGATTTGAAAACAGATCACTCGCTACTTTAAAACACTGAACTAAAAACAAACGGTTGATTTAAAAACGGATCACTTTTTTTCAATACTAACCGAATATTAATAATCACATTACAAACAAACTTTAAATAATTAACATTAAAACACTTTTGAATAACTTGGCTATGATCGCGAAGAAAAGGGGGGAATGGAGGTAAAAAAGCAAGGCCTATTAGATATTAGTTCCAGAACAGTAGCTTTACTCAATATTAATAAATTACGAAAACTAAACTGAATTCAATTTAACTTTAATTTTTAACCAAAATACTTCAACTACTTATTTGTAAAATTATTTCTTTTATTAACAATAACTTTACCTTTTATTAATTTGAATAAATAAATATTTTATACTTCATAACTTACAGACGAAATTCTACTATATTATATAAACAAAACATTTTAACAATTCAAGTTAATTTAAAATATTTTTTCTATTCAGATTTCAAACAAAAACTAAACGAAAGTAAACTAATTCATAAATTTATTGATAATCCATTTAAATTTGTAATGACACTAAAAAAAGTTTCATTTTAATATGTAAGATGCTTTTTATCAGTTATAGTATGACCTGTATGTACTTCAAAATGTCCTTTGTCTCTCTTATATTTGTAAGGATTAAGTTACAGATATGTATGCAGAGAAATTATGTAATAATAATACCTATATGTTTCTCTTCAAACCATGGTTGGTTAATGAAATGCTGTATACTTGTAATATATGACCAGGCGAGTTTATCATATTATTTATAAGTAATATCCAACCAAAACTTAATTAAGAAACTATTTTACTATAACGAACATTTTTCTCCATGTATCATGCTCCAATCCATAAATTTGTTAGTTAACACCATTGTGTTATTTAGAAATCCTTATCAGCAAACCTTAATAATCTTATCCATTATAAACACATACCTCAGATTTATTTTTATTTCTGATTGTAATAAAATTAAAATATTAGTTCTTAATCCTAATGTTGAGTTGAAAAACATCCAAATTGAAATTTTTCCTCTGTCCACTTCATTTTGTTTTTCTGACACCATGTTGTTTTGTTACAAAACATTTCAACCTTAACTAAGTTACATAATGCAAGAGACCCTGTTTATACTAGCAGGATAAATCATATTACAGCCTTTTGTACTTGAGAATGAAAAAAATCTTTCTTATTTCCAGAAGGTCAAAATTATATTTTTGGAATCTGTTAATTCGACAGTTAGAAAACTTCACATTCATGAAATAAGGAAAATTGAGTAGATATATAATCCATTAAAAATTCATTTTTCATCATTCCTTATACAATTATTAACTAATGAAGATATTCACTATAGATATAATGTTGCTGGTTTCATTGATACATCTCCATAAACTTTGGAACAGTGTTAAAAGGAGACAAAAAGAAAAGTGAAAGAAATAATTTAATAAAGTTATTACTATTTCATTTGTTTCAGAAACAATCTCAAGAAGATAATTATTTTTAATTCTAGAAATCTGATTGAATCACATAAAATATCAGTGGTCGAGATGACATTTATAAATTGAGCAAACAAATTAAAAAAGCTATAAGTTATTAGAAGATTGTAATTTTGAATGAGCAAGTGTAAATTATTTTACATTTAGTAATCATTAATACCAAGATAAACAATGCAAAACTGCCAAGGTTTGAGAATTGTAATTCTCTGGAACCTAACAACCTACATTGACGATTACCCATCCCGGACTCTTTTCTAAATCTAGGAATTTAAAACTGAAGATACCTCAAGAAGTTTAATTTCTGTTCAAACCATGAGCTTTTATGAAGAGTAAAATAGCCTTTTCATTTGGATAATTCATAACAATAAAAAAAAAAAATTTGATTATTCAATGACCTTAGATAACATTTAATTCATATATACTATCTTAATTTTATGAAAAAATGAAAATTTCATGTAATTTAATCAGAAATTCATCATTAATTAAGGAAGCAATGAAAAGGCAGAAATATATTAAAAAACCATGTATTAAAACATAATAATCTTTGATATATGTTACAGTACACATGTATAACCCTTCAGTGTTTGGGAGAAAACAATACAATAAGCAAATATACAACATCGGACGATCATTGCCCAATTATCATTAATATTAAGGGACATACAATCAAAATTGATTACAAAGAGGATAAGAATTTACAAAATGTACAATAATAAACAATAATACAATTTTAAAACTATCATAGCACATAATACAAAATGTATAAAATATTTACATAGGTTTTATTTTTAAGAATATAATAGCATAGTGACTCTTTATTGAATTTGAAAATTATAAAAATAAAAATAAATTAAAAAAAAAAAAAACAGTCATAGCAATGAAAGTGAAATCTAGTACATTTAAAGCCATCTATCCCATATATTGTCTCCTATAGAGAAAAATCAAGTAGGAATAAATTAAATCAAAGGAGAGGGGGTATATAACAGGCCAGTAACTTGAAACTCTTTTGTTATGATCCTCAAAGAGTTTCGCTTGAATAAAAAACAATATAAAATTTTGATGAATTCATTCTTGAAATATCACGTGGAAATAATAATTACAATAATATAAACTCTAGGCAAAATTGATATCTGGACGGCTCTGAGTTTAAATAGACTATATATCAAAAAAAATCTATGAAAAAAAATGAAAGCTTGAGCTATAGTGAGAATTAATATGAAATCATCAGACTTAAGGAGAAAGCAAGCAATTTTTTTTACTTTAGAAAAAAAAACATATAAATAATAAAGCCCACCTCTTTTGATAATCCAATGTAATTCAGCCGAATCCAAGTCAAACACTTTTGCACAACACATCACTTGACAAGCTATAGACAAATCCTGAGTCTAATGATGGCAAGAATTTCGAAGAAACACTGAGCATTAATCACAATAGAATGGCTTTTTAAATACTCGATCTGTCACTTTAATTGCAGAGATTTTATTGAGGATATTTCTTTTTAAACACTGTTCAGTTGTATAACTTAATTACAACATATATAGAACAATGTTTCTAGGGTTGCACATGTATCACAGACTATAAGAATAACATATAAACAGAACTTTCAACATTGATAATACTTCTATATGTTCTATCTAAATTTGAAAGAATTAATATGAGGTATACAAATACATAAATCCGAAAACTGAAATTCTGAGAACGACACAGAAATAGGCCACTTAAATTTACAGTTTAGGCCAAAGTGTAAGTTAACATTATTGGAAAACGATAATGAATAATAAATAGAACCAATTAATTACTTAAGAGACTAACGAGAAACAACTAATCTTGTACCATTAGAAATAAATCAAAATCCAGGATTTGAAACTCCGATAAATATAAATCAAAAAAATGTTGAGAAAGAAATTAAAAAATATCCTTCAAAAATCCCGTATTTAAATAGATCAATTTCATAAATGGATATCACAAAATAAGTAAAGAAAAATTTGGCCTAAAGTAGAATTGGTTAACACCCAAAATTTATTACACTTAAAACTTGGGCCACAACTCATAAACCATCAATTCAGTCTTTACAAATCCTAAAAAGCATTCAAATCTTAAAATAAATCTACCTTACAACATAGAAAAAATAGTTTTTGTGATTCATGTTACAAACAAGATATGCCAGTAAAATTTCAGTACTTAGTTCCCAATCATGCAATATAAAATAGAACATAAAATTAAACCTTGTAAGATAGTGCATAAGCACATGAAATGCACATAAAACAATGGTCACGATAAATGTATACTACTGTATTTTACAAAAACAAGGCCCATACAATTCATCGTTACATTCAGTATGTGTTAAAAGTATATACACTTTTTTTTTCTTCAATTTAATGTGAATTTCAAAAATCTTTCAATACCACATATAACATATAGACCCTTACTACATTTTTGAACATGGTAAACTAACAGTAATAAATAATTAACATTTGGACCTCATCTTTATAGTGAAAAACTCTGTAGACTCCTGAGTTAATATGCAACATCAATAATCTGGAGCACTATAATTAAATGCAAAATTTTCAGAAGAACTTATCTCCTGTTAATTAACTGTTTTGACATATATGTATATACATTTACAATTACCTATGAACTAGAAAAATTTTTATAGCACCGTACAACAGCAATAGCTCTTCTTTTCTTTTTCAGGACTGAAATTCATTTCCCTGACGATCTCAGCAAACACTTCATTGACATTTGTCCGATTTTTGGCACTAGCTTCAACAAATGGGCAGCCCCAAATTTGTGCCAAAGTACTTCCTTCCAAAGTTGGCACCTCTCTTTGATGTTCTAGATCTACTTTATTCCCTACTAACAATATGGGCACTCTTTCTGAACCTTTAACACGAGTAATAAGTTCCTTCATCGATTTTATATCCTGAAAGGTCTGGTGGTTTGTTAGACTGTAAACCACAACAAATCCTTGGCCATTTTTAATATATAAATCGCGCATACTCGCGAACTGTTCGGTACCAGCAGTGTCCAAAATTTCCAACACGCAGGGTGAATTATCAACTTCAATCTCTTTTCTGTAAAAATCTTCAATGGTGGGGTCATATTTCTCCATAAAACAACCAGACACAAACTGTACAGTAAGAGCACTTTTCCCAACCCCACCCGATCCCAAAACGACAACTTTGAACTCACGCATTATTTCACTTAAAAGATCCTTCAGCAATGAGCACTAACAACTTCTTAGGTAACTATCACACTATTTAATCACATTCAAAGGTAAAACGCTTATTTAAAGCATTGTGAAAAGACACATTTCACCTCTAAAGGTAACCATCACATCCAGACATCTCCACGTCTGTCGCCATCTTTCTCCACTGTGGAGATGGAAACTCACTGCTGGGGAGCAATATCATATCTAGCGGTATCTACCGGACAAATATTACCCTAACAATACCTTCTACTGCGCAACCTATCTGCGCCATCTCCCTCCATCCATTCTTTCCGTATGTCTTTTTCTAGGCTAAAATAACAAATCTCTTAGTAATTCTCTGAGATATTTTCAATAGTGTTTAAGAAAAACAATATTAAATTGACTGTTCAACTATAAACAATCTATTTTCCTGCCATAGAGAATTTTAAACCTTACTGTACAGGTATATGGTCAAATGATTTTATGTTTGAATTTGAGATGTTCATAAAATAACAGATTACTTAACAACATTCTGTCTTGTGTTTAACCAGAGCTATTTGATCCTCTCCATAAAATTTTCTTCTTATTTCGATTATCGAACTGATTCCTTCCAAGTTGGATTGTATATGTTACATCATGCAATTGAAATGAATTTGAAGTATTTTATCAAGATTTAGTATCCTTTCAGGTATACAAAACACTAGAAAAACTAAATGCAATATGAAGTTGTTACTTGTCAAAGTACATAAATGAATGATATCTCTTCAAACCCAAAATATGAAGTGGACTTGTCACAATTGTATTTGCATAGTTTATTAATTAAAAAGGATTACAGAGAAATGATTTGTTCAAAAGTTTCATTTTCTGAATAAATCTTATTATGAAAACAACAGTGAAACAACAAAATTTCATTTTTATTTTACTTACAATCATACAAAGCTAAATAATTATCATATAAACTAATTGTGAACGATTTTTTAGATTTACGAAGGGCATCACTTTTTTATGAGTGAGTCAAAGAACAAGAATTTTATTTACGTTACACACATTGTTAAGATAAATCTCCATTATTTCACTATTAATAAAACATGTTTATTGTGTAAAACAAGTTCATATCATGGATAGATTGAATTGAAGTATTTCCCAATGAATTTTGCTAATACCAATAATTTATTCTGTTAGTATATAACAGTCTTGATCATTAACTGCTAATTTATATTGTATTTATAGTTTTGAGCATGCTTCATTTATCTATAAATGTATTTTAACTGTCAAAAACCACAAAATTTTCTTTCTATTCAAAGTAATTATTAATATTTAGTAGACAATTTTTAATGTTTTTTTATCATTGAGGTTCTTTATACATTTGTTAGAAACTATTTTAATTTAGACATTCTTATTTACATCTTGGTGCTTGAACAATATATATTATTAAGTGGTATTTGATTTAAGCCTATAATTTTTTTATTAGTTCAAGGATGGGAGTGTAGGCTCATTTTAGTCTCCCAAATAATCTGTTTAGGAAATTAACTAAGAAAATTAAATAATTTAAATTCATGGATTATACAAATTTAGCTTCTATTTTATTTTAAAAATAACCATAAAATGAAATCAATATTTAACTTTAAATTATATGCTTATGCCATCTGTTGAGGGTTTTTCCTAACTAAAATGATTCACAGATTGTGGCGCAATCTTTGTTATCAATAACTACCAGAAGGCGAATGAAGTAGGTTAACTTCGGTGTAGGCTGATTAAAGTTGGTTAATTAATAAAACAAGGTACAATAACAAAGACCAACAACTTATTATTTTGTTATAAACTTATTTATTTATTACAGTTTTAGTTTTTTGCAGGGAAAATTATAAAATGTTTAAATGAATATAAGGAAGTATTCATTTAAAAATAATGTTCATAAAATAATTTTTATTTCAGTTATTTTACAATGGCATCTTACCCTGACCCAAACAGTGGGATGTATCCTCCACCTTACCCAGGTACATGAAATTCGATATTTCTTAATATTTGTGATTGATGTTATCGAATGTTGCTTTTAACTTTTCGCTCGTAAAGTTAATGGTATCATTCTGGACCTAAAATTGACACAGTTTTTTGTGTTTTATGCAAATTAACATGAATATTACATTGCCATTCTAATTTACTTTTCTTATGTCACTCAAATAATAAAATCAACCTTTTCCTCCTTAAAGATATATTCTATTCTCTTGTGATAACTACGGACTTGGCTGTTCTATGTGTAATTTCTTATTTATTGACACTAAATCACTGTATCACATGTGCATGTAGAGGTTTTCCATCAGATCAAACAGTTCTGAATAAATAAACCTGGAATAAGTTATGGATTCTAAATCAAAATTTCTCCCTTTTTATTGTTTTATCACTTCTACAGTATTACGCTTAATCTTTTTTGTAATTAACTGAAATCAGTATGGGGTGCCTACTTCTTACAGCTGATAATTTTTTGTGTGGCTTTATAGAATATGCAATTTTAATCATACAGGTACTACAAATTAGACTTTGTATAAAGATATATTTTGATTTATTGCAATTAAATTTAAGTTTTTATTTAGTTTTGATAATGAATCAGAGAGATGATGTCATCACAACTGCTATATGTGATTCACATCTTCCTTGTAGTTATTTTTTGCAATATGATGAATGACCTCGAATTAAAAAAAAAAAAGCTATTTACTTATATTTTAATATTATATTTTCAGCTTCTTAATGAAATTTTTGTTAGATTTTTATTCATAAGATTCTTTAAAAAATCAAAATTACTTGTATTACTATTAATGATTATTTTTGTATATCTTCTTTTCCTTGCTGACAATCAGCTTGCAATTGCTTGTTATAGATGATTATGAAACAAACAGATTATTTATACTCTACTAGCTGTTCTCGATTAAAAAAAATTAATAAAAATAAATAAATATATATTTATTTCAGATTGTTGAATGTTGATCAATTTGAGATTAGAATGTCAATCCCTTTGTTTATTCAAGACTGCAATAATGAAATGGATGCATGATGTATAAACCTAATAAACTAATATTTATATATTAATAATGGTTATAGTATCTTGTAAAAATACAGACAGGGGATTACACATACAAATTTAAAAAAAAAACATATATATATCTATGTTTATATTTTAATGTATGACAATATTCCAGCTTATGTTGTAGGTCTCTATTTATGTAATAAGTTCAGAATTTTAGATCAAGTGCGATACTCAGATCAAAAACATACCCGGTTTTTATGGTACACTTTAAGTAACAATATTCATGTTGTGGTGGTTAAAAAGTACTATTAAATTATAATCAAACAGAAATTTATATAGATAGAATTTCCTGAATCCATAATTATTTTGATGGACTAAGTGGTTTATCAACATTTAAAATTATTAATTCTAATCATTACCTGAGTGAGAACTTTCACTTTTAAATATCTATTCTTCTTCTAATATATGCAAAGTAAAAGCAATAATATGGGAACAAGTGAAGAATATAATATTATCATGATAATATTGAGCACGCGTTTGATGAAGCTTCATATTTAATAATGACTGTTGAATTAAAAGTTTCCTTATAATTTATTAGCTTGCCTAATTGGAATGAATCATAAAATCCTTGAATACGTAGATGATATAACTGTTCTTGGAAGTAATCAGGAGGACATTGAAAAACTCGCTGAAACTCTGATAAGAGAGGCAGAGGAGATCAGTCTACAAGAAAATTAAGACAAAAAAATATATATGACAATTAGCCGAAAATTCCACCCCAATAACAGGTTCTGTGTAGAAGGAAAATCACTCTCGAGAGTAGAAAAATTTAAATATTCTTCCTTTCAGAGGTATTAATATCCCAAAAAATCTCAAATTAAGGGTGTATAATGCTATGATAAAGCCAGTTCTAATATATGACTCTGAGCTCTGGACATTAACCAGCACCATATAAAAAAGTGTTGAAAGATTTAAGAGAAAAATCCTCAACACGATAACCGGAGCAATCTGGGATCAGAAGAAAAAGAATGGAGAAGAAAAACCAATAAAGAATTGCTTAAAGAAATTAGTGAATCAATAGCATCTCATGATATGAAGGCACGGAGGTTAAGATGGGTGGGACATGTTGCTCATAGCAATCCATCTGGAAGCCTCAAAGGAAAAAGACCACATGGAAGACCAAAAAGCAGATGGATAGATAGAATCAACAAAGATGCAATAGAGCAGCGTGAAGATAATTGGAAAGAAACAGCCCAAGACAGGCAGACATGGAGCAGGCTTGTTGAGGTGGCTAAAGATCTACATGGTCTGTAATGCCAACAGAAAAAAAAAAAAAAATGGAAATTATCTATTCAGTTTAACTCTTGAAAAAAAATACTCAACTATATGTAAGCTCACACTAATTCATTATTTCACTCGGAAAGACCTTACTGTCTTGTTACAGAAGAGCACAATCCTTGAAATATATTTCTCTCAGTTATTAAGAGTGTAATGTAGAAGCCAGACATAAATAAGAACTCCATAACCGCTGTGTCAATATTAACAACTAAGATAATTAAACATGATTATTCTTAATTAAAAATATCAATAACTTTTTTTATATATTATCCATAATGCCTAACAGATTTCACAGCTACCTATTCAATAGGTTTTTAGTTGGCTATAGACTAAATAGCAATATTTTAAAATTTTAATGACAAGTATTCAGTAGCGCCTAGGAGGGTAATAGCTAGAATTGTAGTTTCTATAAAAAACTGTAAGTTTTAGAGGTTTATTATGTGGAGCCTTGTATGTTGTGTAAGATCTTCATGTTCCATCTTTAAATCATGATAACTTGTTTCCTCTCAATCTGCCAACTTACTGCTGTTATAATATTAATACCACTTATATTTTTCATTCACCTTTATTGACGTAGTATAACAAATTCAAGGATCGAAATTGGGATGCTTCACTTTTTCTTAAAATTTGCTTTCTTTTGACACCTCGTTTGTCATCCATCCAGAATCCATTTCTTCTCAGTGCTGGAAAAGGGAATATATACTACTAAATTAAATGTATAGTCTATGATTTAATAGCTCATTTTCTCAAAGGAGAATCACACCAATGTAAATTTATTGGATTTTAGCAAATATATACTCTTTTTGTTATTTTCCTACCTATACTAGGTAAGGAAAGTATTGCAATCGGGTCAAATTTCCGACATGCGGTTTTTGACTACTGATGGCTGTGACAGAAATTCATTGCTCCATGCGCAATAGCTTGCGCGCAATAAATGAAAAACACGTTTTTCTATAGACTGTAGCGCAAAAACGGCTCTGACGATTTTGATGAAACTTTCCTATAATGTTCTAGTCACTGTTCTTTCAACTTTCGTATATAAACTAAATTCCCCAAAAAATTCAGGAAATAAAGTTATAAGGAAAAGAAAAATGTTATGGGGCCTAACTCCCTAAGTATATATTATACGGTGAAATTTATAATAAAACTTTTGAAAGGTAATTAAATTACTAACAAAACAAAAAAAAAAATCATCGGAATCGAACCAGTATTAGCGATGATACAGCTTATTCTATTTTTTACACATGTTTTAACTTATTACTTTCCTACCTATACTAGGTAAGGAAAGTATTGCAATCGGGTCAAATTTCCAACATGAGGTTTTCGACGGATCTATACGTTTCACAGCCTTCTGAGTCTGAAAAACACATTTTTAGCCTATCGTTTGAAAGGTAATTAAATTCCCTACAAGGCCATATAAAAATCGTTCATTTTCGACAGTTATTAACTAAGTTACAGCGATTCAATTCCCAATGAAAGATTACGAGTTCATTTCCTGGTGTCAGAAAGGGGTGAATAAGAGAATAAGGATGACTAAGTGAAATTAAGAAATTCTGTTGCCCGTATCACTATTTCCTCTACTTTTAACAGAAATTATTGTGTAACAATACTAAGCTATGGCAAAAAGTTTTTGATCAGCAATTTTAGTGAGTATTGAATTTTTTACACTGATATACCTTAAGCTGGTTTCATTGCCTTAATTTATCAAATAAATCGTAGTCAAATCTTTTGTTTGTTTAATTTTCAGGAAAATAAATTTAGTTCAATTCTTTTTTGTTTCTTCATGAACATATGTAAAGATATAAAAACTTTTCTGAAATAGGTAGTAAAGTTGTGTGAGTGTGACACACCAGATGTTTTTTTTTATTATTGATTTTTTCAAAACTATTGTAAAAATTTGTATATAATTTAGAATGGTTTTATTAGTAAAGTGTGTACACTCCAGATGAGATCAAATTATATATACTAAGTATGAATAGTTTGATTGGGCTTATGCATAAAATAAAATGTTAAAAAATGAATAAAAGCCTATGACTAATTTAACCATGCCCTTGGAAGAAAGGAAAATTTTATAGCTAAATAACAGAAGATGACTAAAATTCCATGGAACTAAACTATGCGTCAATTTTATTTTAACATATCTAATCTAAAAGAAACAACTGATAGTAGAGAAGAAAAAAAAGTTTATTAAGGCTAACTCAAACAATTGTGTTGTAAACCTGAAAAACACGTTATAAAGCCAATGTACAATAGTGGACCAGCCTTTGAAGTATTCATCGAGTCGTGTATTTAAAACAATTTATTCGTTCCAGAGAGGTTTTCTTTTTATAGTATATTGAATTTCAATTTCATGAATTATATGGCTGATTTAAAAACAAGTAATGTCATTTTATTTATAAGCTTTGCATGGCATTCTTAACAGGTGCTGGTATAATCTTTTATTTTCTATAAAGCACTAATCTTCTAACATTACAGCTTGCTCTTACCCTGCTACTGCACATCCTCTACAACCTGCTTTTAACCCATCTTATTGTGGTTATGGTGAGTTAATATGTAATTTTAACCCTCAAATCCTTGTAGAGTTTGTTTTTATCCAGTTTGATTAATTAAAATGCCAATTTTTTAGCGAAATATCCATTGATAAAATATAGTTTTATAATTATTCAAAATATGTTTGTTATCTTAGATATATGTTGTCTGATGAACAAATCTTTTTATTCTCTCTTTAGAAAAGTTGTTTGTATAATTTTGGCATTTATTATTAAATCATCAGTTTGAAATTCCCTTTATATATTGCCTAAGATCTCTAAAGGGAATCATCGATTGTCAATTGATCCTGTAGCTATGGAAGTAATTTTTAAATCTTGGGGTTTTCATATGAACAAACTCAATATATTATTATTGAGGATGTTAGAACATTGGTCAATATGTTCATTTAAAAATTATCATTAATTAATGCAGGATAGGTGCTCACAGATTTTTTTGGCTCAGTGTATAACAAACATTTATATAAATTCTCACATCAGAATGCTAGCTATAAAATGAAGTACAATATTTCTACAAATTTTATACTGATTGAGATAAATTATTTATACTTATAACCCTAAAGTAAACAAATAACAAACTTTTGAAAAATAGTGTATCTAATTGCATGATGGTACAATATTATCTGTTGCTGTCTGTGGTAACTAGACAACATAACTAAAAACATTTTATTTTAGTAATTAACAAATTAAGATTTTGAATACTTTACTTAATAGTCGACTGTTGTATTTTAGAGGAAGGAGATGGTCCGGGAAGATGGTCATAAATTGAATAAAATAGTTTTGCCACTATTTTAATATATTTATGACCGCCACCCTGGACCATGTCCTTCCTCCAAAATTATGATTTCGGAGGAAGTCTTAAAGGATGGCTTCACCCTTCAGATTCATACAATGTAAATTTCTGTTAGATAATTGATATCTGAAATATCATTAAAAATAAATAACAATAATAATAATTGAAACATTAAAAACAGAATAAATTCTAAAATTCAATTTATGCAAATTAAGCTATAAGAATTTAAAAAAATAATACTAGATCAATTTCTATCATAAAATTTCTAAAAACATATCAATTTCTAAAATAAAATTTTATTCTAAACAATTATGTAATGCATATTTAACAACAAAGTTCATTATAATTGTCTAAAATCACATTGTGAAGTACATTGGAAAATAGGTACCTATATTTTATTGTTTGAGCTTTTATTTTTATTTTTTTCAACTGCCTTAATGATAGGATGTACGGTTACAAATACTTATAGAATAAGCTCTTAGAAAATTCCATATTTCTATTGTCCTTAATATCCAATATTTGATCAAATTGCCTACTACACTATTTAAAGAAACAGATGTATCTCATATTAGGATGTGGTATAGTGGTAGTACAGAAATCATTCCTTTTTTTTATTTATTTATGCCACCTTTTGCAATTCCTTAATTCTTTAATCTATCAAATTTAAATATTTGTACATAAAAATAGTTTGGGTGTATGTTTCTAAATATGATAACCAAATAATTACAATATAGTAATTAATTTTAATTCCTTCATTTATTTTTATTTTTTGTTAAAATACTGTCAGTACTTTTTCTTTTTGTAAATTTTCAGCAGTTTTATGAAAAATAATAGAATATAGAGAAATATTGAATGAAATAAAATTCAAATACTGCATAATATATAACAGCTTAAGAAATAACAGCTATTTTTTTGGGGGGGGGGGGGAGAAGAAAGGGAGATGATGTCATTGCATGGGGTCACCGAATGTTTAAAGCCGTTACTGCATTGAAATAAAAATATTGTTACAGTTTTTTTTTTTTTATATTTAGCTGATCTTTATTATCCAATCTCACATTAATACTTTGTTAATTTATTTATTTGTTAACTGTATTTTATGATTGAAAACCTTTGTGCTTTACTTTTTTAATAATAATAGGAATCATTTTGGTACGGTAGAAAAATTATAAATATGAATCAATGTTTTTATCTTTTGAACTGTTAATTCAATTGCTGGGAAGTGAAATGAGGAAGTGTCTGTTCTTGATTTTTTGTTTGCCCTCGCCTAGAACCAGTTTTATTAAAAGGCAATTTAAAAACTCCAAAACATCATTTTTGAACCTGTGAGTATTGGAAATTTTTAATTCTGTTCAAACATAAAATGAATGTTATTGCGGTCTTATATATATTGAAATTTCCTTTTTCGCTCATTATTATTCTCTCTGAACCCATTTTATGTCTCCCATGGCATGGTTTGTTATTCTTTTTAAATTCTGAAGATTGTTTGTAAAACAAGGAATAGAAATATAATTTGAGTATTATTAAACCGATGTTTTGATGCCCCATTGACTTAATATAAAGTTAACTAAATATTTTCTTATTTCCTATTCTTCTTCTAATATATTACATTTCTGATAGTTCAAAAATAGAAAACAGTCAACTTTCAAAGATAAAAGATTGCCTGGCTTATTAATTGTTTCAAAGGAGTTTTGTTATTTGGATAAAAATGTATCATAACTTTAATTGTATTGTATTATTGGACTATCAGAAACATATTTTATTTCTGAGAGATAAAGTAAGTACAAGAAATATAAAGATATTTAGAAAACTTAATGAGGAATGGAGCTCGAAATGTTTTAATGATATTTAAATAAATGGATGAAGAGAGTAATTATTTCATTGGAAAAACAAAGATGTGAAAAATTCTAAAAAAGATATGAAAAATAGTTCTGTGGTTAATAACAAAATACATATAGAAATAAAGTGTTATATTTGAAAATAAAGCTATTTTGTGTGTCTCTGCATTTTTAAGATTAATATTACTCAAAATAAACTTTAATATAACATTTTATTAAATTACTGTTGTTCTTTTAATTCATATGTGCCTGTATTTAAATAAATGTTTTGTGGGTGGAGTTTATGACTTACTAAATTTATTCTGTTGCATGATGACATTCCTTTTCTTATATATTTACATTATTTCAGGTTTCTATTTTATTTTATTTTTTTAATATAAACAATAGAATCCATTTAGATATTATTAATATTTAATATTTGATAATTAACAGGTGGACCAGGAGGTTATCCTCCCTCACAAGGCTATCCACCTTCCGGGTACCCACCACCTGGAGGCTATGGACCTCCTCAGGGAGGTGGATATCCACCAGCACAGGGTGGTTATGGGCCCCCGCAAGGTGGTTATCCACCACCGCAGGGTGGATATCCACCAGGGCCTGGATTCGCACCTCCTCCAAACCAGGCAGCCTACCCATCTCCTGGAGGTTATCAGCCTGCTCCGAACAGTTATCCCCCTCCAGGTGGCTACGGTGCTCCAACTGCACCCATCTCTACACAACCTACTTCTGCAGCTCAGGGTTTGTATAAGTATCATATAAGATTGTACCTAATTCTGCCATAAATACTGTTACAAAAGTTGAACTTTGTTTACATCCTTGAGTATTATTTAGTTAATCCTTACTTCTATCAGGTTATTTTCTTTACATATCAGGATAATAATTCCAATTAGTTTGTATTTTTTTTTCCGCTCAGTTAACAAGGAGTTGGGTGATAAAGAAAACCGAATAGCTGTGATCGCCTTACACAATGTTGGAGAATGTAGGTCTGAGATTTTCAACACTTCGAAACCTATGGGTATCAGTTGTATATTATTTGCGTACCACACTATAAATAGATATAATGAGACCCTATCCGTATGTGACAGACCTCAACTGGACTGCTCAAATCAGAAGAAATCCCATTCAAAAACAACAAATCATGTCTCGGGAAACGGGAATCTCTGTCAGATCAATGTCTTGCATAATAAATGGGTGACCTTAGGATGGGTGCATTTCGAAGAATGACAGGACAAAGGCTAACCACTTTTTGAAAAAAAAAATAGAGTGGATAGATGCAAAGTGCTCCTTAGCCGTTACAACGATGGTCTGCATCGAAAGATTTTGTTTAGCGATGAGAGAATATTTACGATTGAAACAAAATTTAATCACTGAAATGATTGTGTGTACACACACAGCTCTAAAGAAGCACAGGAAGTCATTGGAAGAGTGAAAAGAGGTCATCACCTTTCCTCAGTGATGGTTTGATGGGGAGTTTGTTTTGATGGCACCACAATGCTCCATTTAAGTGCAAAAGGAGTTAAAACAGTTGCTAAAAACTATTAGAACGATATTTTGGAACCTGTTATCAAGTCTCTAAATGATAACCTGTTTGCTGCTGTTGACCATTTTAATATATAGAAAATATGTTAACAGTGTAATCTGCTCCCTTCATATACCAAGCTTCCTCTAGAAATCACTTGTGGTTAGAGGGATGGTTTCCTTACTTCCAAACCTATATTAATTTATTTATTTCTCCCTTCCTTGCCTTTCGGCTACACGGGATTTTACAGGGATGGCATATTACAAACATGCATATCAATCTTGCTATTATTTTTTTATATTTTATATTTATATTTTATAATTGCTAAACAATTTTTTTTTTCAAAGACTTCTGTTTCCTTCATTTTCTTTTTACCAACTCAGTCTGGTGACCTACCATTAGCAGGTCCTGTTCTTCACTTACCTCTGTACTTTGAATCTGAGTTTCAACGGAAATACACGTTTTGTGGTCCCCTGAGTCCAAATAAAAATTCCATCCAAATGGTTCCAAATCCCGCCAAATGGTGTGTGTGTGGGTGCGTGCATGTGTTAACAGTTGGTATTATTTAATATTTAATTGTTTAGATTACGGCGATATAAATATTAAAATTTGTATATGTAATATAGCGTCTGTAATTTTTATTTCTTTTCCTTTTGTCTGAGAATACTTATTTTTCCTAAGAAGAAGGTGGTAAATGAAAGTTTTGTGAAGCACGCATCTCACCACCAGATTTTTATGTATGTAGTGATTTCCATGGAAAAAAAATTATGAAGAAAGGAAAACATTTTATAGGTTATATATGGATTATATATTATATATGAATTCCCTGTTAAACACTAATCATCAAAACTGAACCATTATTAGCAGTGATACAGTGTATTCGATTTTCTACTCATTTTGTTACTTTCTTACCACTAGGAAAAGTATATATTGTAACCAGGTCTAATTCTTTCTTTCATTATTCAAAAATTGATCTAATTGTAGCATTTTTTATTTTTATTTAAATGTTGTATAAATTATAACATTTATGTACCCAAGTTTAAGTCTCCTGGATTGTGTTCTTTAGTTTTAATGAACCACAATAAAACTATGTGACACTTTATAACATATGACTGCTGCTCAGTTTCATATTATTTTATTAAACAATGAATAAACTATACCTTTCAAATGCTTTTTTCGAGCCTTATATTTTTTTTTAATTAACTTAATGTAGGGATCGGCACAGCAGATTTCCAGTTTAACCTTAGTCTTAAGGTTTCCCCAATATATTCACTTTTTATGCCAGATAAAGTGCATCTGAGTTAAGTTTGAGTGTAGGGGAAGGGAACTCGCGCAGCTTTCCCCCATTCAAGTTCTATCCCCCCTCTTCACCATAGCAAGCACCTTATACCGGTAAAGTGTTATTCCATTTTCTTCAAATGTTTATTAAAATTAGGGATTTTAATTAAAAAATAAAATAAAACTATGAAAAGGATGATTAAACAATCAAATTGAGAAAAAAAATATGTATGGATTCGTGAGGTCTCCTGTTCACAGAACTCGATGATATTACCATGACTCAGATCTGTAGATCTAAATTTACCAAGAAATAGATGGAAAATAAGAGTCTATCAATTCTTTTAATGATAAAATGATGATTTGTGTTTTTCAAAAGTTATTAAAATTTCTGCTTATCGGTAAACCTGCTCAGAATCAAATCGTGGAGAACTACTCTTATCCTTTAATAAATTAGAAATAAATGATTTTAATTTTTCTTATGTTTATCACATTTAGTAATGTTATGTTCTATCAATTTGTGATATCCAGATGGATGGATGAGCTCTCCCCAGGTAAGGCCTGTTAATTGTCCACCAGGTTTGGAATATCTTACCACAATCGATCAGCTGCTCGTCCACCAAAAAGTTGAACTTCTCGAAGGTGAGTCAATTTTTCTTATTTGTGAGTTTGAATTTTTCAATTTTTTTATTGAATACGTGACGGTTGACCGTTGTATATTATTGAGTAAGGATATAGTCCGGGGTGGCAGTCATAAAAAGACTCAAATAGTGAAATAGTGGCTTTTTATCTCAAGCCAACTTTGCAGGTCTTCTTCAGGGCTAAAACAAACATGATACAAGAGGATATAAAAATGTGAAAGTTACATGATATTTAGATAAAAATTATAAACAATGTGAATAAATATAAAATTGTATACAGTGTGTATACAATTATTTAAATTGTGAATAGAAAGTACATAGAAATATTAGAAATTCTTAATATATTGTTCGTTTTAGTCCTGGAGAAGACCTGCAATGTTGGGTCAAAACGTTGGCTTGAAATAAAAATAGTTTCTCACTATCAGTCTTTTTATGGCCGCCTTTTTTTATTATTCAACTTCCTTAATAAATGATTTTCTATGGATACCTATTCTTTAAGTATTATTCAATGCTTACCATTGAAATATGCTTAATTTACAATATACTTTCTTATTTTAATGTCTTATGATAACTATTAAGTAATATTATTATTTTTTTTTAGCCTTCACTGGATTCGAAACACAAAATAAATTCACTGTCAAAAATAGCCTTGGGCAAAAAGTGTTCTATGCAATGGAAGATTCGGGATGCCTTACTCGCTGCTGTTGTGGACCGTGGAGGCCATTCGACATGAAGATTTTAGACAATTTCAGAAACGAAGTTATTCATCTCTATAGGCCTCTTGCTTGTGATAGCTGTTGTTTTCCATGTTGTTTACAGGTATGCTTTGAATTTTGTTCAATTTATTTGTTTATACATCAATTTTCAAAGCCTCTGTTCTTTTTTTTTTTTTTTTTTTCCTTAAAAGTGTAATATAAAATTAATATTTAATCAGAATATATGTATTTGTATTTTGATTTTATAGAATAAACCTGAGATAGGAGATTATCCATCCTATTTCCTCTGCCTAAAACTTTTACTTCGTAATTTAATTATTATTTATCCAATAAATGAAAGGACACCTGTCCGAGATTTCTTTATATCTTGATCAAATTTGGTGAACAGGAATAGGCAGTTGTGATCTACCTAAAACTGTATTAAATTCAACAATTACCAGTGATTCCAATGAATATAACAATTATTATTACAGGATAAATGTTTTCTGACATATCAAAATTTATGAATCCTGGTATATTTAAAGACAAATTCCTTTCATTGTAAATTGTTGAGACGTCGATATTAAACATTGACATTATTCTAAACTTTCTGACACTATATTCTAGCAAACACATCCAAAAAAACAAAAAAAGATCCAGTCTTTGGTACCCTTTAATCAACATCAATTTCAGCAAAGAGTATCTTAGCTTCAGAACAGTACTAAATTTTTATTAGTTTCTCGACATAGAGATGTAATGAATCTACTTCGAAAAATTATTAGAAATGATCTTCAGTTCAGGAAAAATGATGAAATTCCTTAATAAAAGCTTCAAATAGGGCAACTGTTTCGGATCAAAGTCAAATCAGTTCTTTTTAAAGTGAATTCACAGTTTTGCTGTGAACTATTCTCATTCCGAAAAATTGTAGCACTCCTTTGGTAGGTTTTTGAACCAGAGCATATTGTAGCTATTGATAAATTGAATACACCAATTCATAATTTTAAAGCACTTGTTTTGGAAACTATTAGATAAACATATTCAAACAGGGTGGCGACCGACCTGGAAAAGTCAGGGAAAAATTGTTAAAGTCAGGGAATTTTTTTAATTCGATAATATTCTTTTTAAATTGGAATTAATACATAGTGGATTAATATAACGACCTTAAGAGACCTGGTAAATTTTGATGTTATAATGTATAATTGTTATAGACGACGGACCATCTTCATATTTATATCGTTATATAACCTATATCTATCCATATGTCACTGTCAGTAACGGCCCTGGTCGTTATATTGGAATTAAACAAGAGTAAGGAATAAGTTCAGGAAAAATGATGAAATTCCTTAATAAAAGCTTCAAATAGGGCAACTGTTTCGGATCAAAGTCAAATCAGTTCTTTTTAAAGTGAATTCACAGTTTTGCTGTGAACTATTCTCATTCCGAAAAATTGTAGCACTCCTTTGGTAGGTTTTTGAACCAGAGCATATTGTAGCTATTGATAAATTGAATACACCAATTTAAATGAAAATTGATTTCATATCTATACTTAAGGATTTATCATTTACTATGTTCATGACAGAGGAGTACAATCCATATCGATATATACTGAAGAATGCAATTATTTTCGTTTAAGTTAAATATAACCAGTGCCGGCATTAGACAATCGTGTTCAAGTTAAATTCATTTCTTAAGCTCTTTTACATTATGTAATATTTGGATTTTATTTCATTCGACATTTCCATAATACAGTTTCTTTATTGATAGGCTAAAATTAATTATTTTGATACATTTTGTATTTTTTTTTAAATTTCTTACCCAGAAAATTGGCCAGCACTCTCAACAAGCGCCCCTCCAGGTCGGTGCCCCGGGATAATTGCCCTGGTTGCCCCATCCTGAGGCCACTAAGCACAGAATATAACTTTATATTGTCATTATTTTTTTAATTTTCATTCTTTGCATGCATAATTTAAACACATTTATGTTAGGTATTTGCATATTAAAACACAAAAATACAATATTAATAATTACAACACTTTTATTCATCATCAAAATAATACTGTAGGAGGTTGCCACTCTTATCTATATCGATTATTTTATCCACCCAACTAAATATACCTATCGGTACTTTTCGATATATCACAATTTCAATTTGTAATGATTTAATTTAATTTACCATGGAATATTCTTATGTTAACTTAAAGTGGCTACAGTTGTACTTGACAATTATACTTATACTGAAAGATTAATCAAGCATATTTGTCAAGTATTTTTGTACATGTGTAGCCATCCATCAGTACTTATAATTCATGATAATTAATAACCTGTAAGAATAAATAAAATAACAAAATTATGTTAGCAATATTAACTTAAGGTAAACACAATATGAACGAATTCAACAATATCAAAGCCTAATTTTCCTCTCTTAAGGTTATTTTCTACCATTTCTATGGCTTTATGAGATAAGAGAATGTAATTTAGATATATGTTTTAGAGATTGGAAGTTTATGCACCGTTGGGAACTCTCGTAGGAACAGTGGAGCAGGAATGGAGTATTTTGACACCTCAATACAGTGTGAAAAATGCTGCTGGTGATACAGTTTTAAGAATCGAAGGACCATTTTGTACTTTCACTATCTGCGGTGATGTAGAATTTAAGGTACTTCGTCTATTTTGTGCATATTTTTCTCCTAATAATTTGTTTGTTAACCAATTTTTAAAAGTTACATGAATTTTTATTTTTTACGATTGAATAAAGCTATTAAGATTCTAGTATAACTCAAAAAGAAAATATAAACAAAATTATTTTGAGTTTTCAAGAAGTTGCTTAGGAGGAGATATGATCAAGAAAGAAAACACACAATACGTATAAGATTCTTTCTAAGTGTGCCTACCCCTTGGCCTAAGTTATTTCATTCTGATAAAGTCCTGGAGCTTTGGGTGAAATATGGGCATGTACTAAAAGAAGTATTGTATTTTTGTATATTCTTTTCTGTCTTCATACCCTAACAAGCTTCTTGATTGAATGTATGTTCGACATATCTCCGCCATATTTTGAACTTCATCAATATTTCTTAAGAATGTATATTTTTGTATGAAGAATTTCTTCAACTAGAAAAGGCAGCTAAGAAGTTTGGACTTGTCAATGAATCAAAAATTAAATATATGCGAGCTGGACCAGAGTGTTTCTGGAAGAGCATATTGAGATTGGATCATAAAAGTTTGAGAGGGTGCAGCATAATGTGTACTTTGAGTCTGAGAAAAATTCAGATGGTGATACATCCCAAGATACGAAACATCGGATTGGAGCAGCAAATAGGTGCTGTTTAATAATAATAATAAAGTAGATTTATTACCAATGAGACCAAAGTGATGCTTTGCAAAGTCCTTATTCACCCAGTCATTGCATATGGACATGAAGCTCGTGTGTGGAACAAGACTCATGAAATTAAGCTGCTGATTTTTGAAAGGACGATATTCAGTAGAATATTTGGTCCAATAGAGGAAGATAATGTATGCAGAAGAAGAAAAAATCGGGAGATTTATGTACTCTTTAAGAACGCAGATGTTGCTAGATTGATCAGTGTGAGGAGGCTAGGTTGGGCAGGACATCTCACTAGGATAGATGAGAACAAAATACTGAAAAAATTAGATGTGGAAACTCTTTATCAAACTAGAAGAGTAACCTTTGGGCTATTTAAATCTATGGGGTCCTCCATAGAAATATAAAATAAAACGTAATAAAAAAAAGTAATTAATAAAGAAAAACAGAAAAAAAAAATTGATAAAATGAAATAAAATAAATATATCCTTATAGTTTATAAAAAAAAAAGATATATATATATATATATATATATCCTTATAGTTAATAACAAATAATAAGTGAAAAGTTTTAAGAAAAACAAATTAATAAATGTATTTAATCTTATCTGTGAGTGACTATAGAGGGACGTCTTATCTCTTCCAATGCTAACACTGAACTGGACTTTGATACGTTGATCTCACTTATTAGGAAGTAAACTATTAAAAGTCCGCACTCCTAGGAGGGGAGCTAAAATTGGGAGACTTCTAGAAGATCACTTTTTTGCTGGTTGGATAGCCAAAACAAGATGACTAGGTAGTGTTCATGCAAATGCTAGGAATATTCTTGGAATCGCAGACTGGATGGTGAAAACCTTTGGTGAGGGCCCTGATTCAGCAATGAATTGTTGCACCGTGTATTATTATTAGACATTTTATAGACAATGCATAGTAATGAGATACTATCATAGAAAATGTTTAATGACATGAAAATGTTAAATTGTATTATTCGATAAAAGGAAAGTATATATATATATATATATATATATATATATATATATATATATATATATATATATATATATATATATATATACTACAGTTTTTTTCACGAGTCAAGAGATATTACACTCAGTGTCAAAATGTTAGACACACTTCAAAAATTGTTATTTCTACCCTCCCATTTTTCAAATTCTGTAAATCAGTATTAAAATAATTTATCACACTGAAGTTCATCAGCAGCATGATTGTATTTTGGTTGTAAAGTCAAAAATATATACTTTATTTTTCAAATTAAAGTTAAAGTTCATTAAAATGTTAGACACACTCCCTTTTAAAAATTAATGCAACTCATTTTAACACTTCGTGGCCTTTCCACCACCATTTATTTTGTCAAAAATTCTGTTTGGTAATGAATTGGACAATTGTTTGATTGTTTTTTAAGGTAATTGTTCCCATCAAGCCAGAATTGCAGATTTCAAATCCTTGATTGTTCCGAACTGTCTTGACTCAGAGTACACCCTTCTTTATTTATTTATTTATATATATATATAATCTCAGTAGTTTATTATTGATTAAATTCAAATTTATTTAATATTTGTTTATGAACCTTATTTTTTTCTATTAATCAGTGGTACTTAAATTTGTATTATACTTTTATTTTGATAGATGTATAATAGTAAGTGAAGATCTGAGATAAATAGATCTTTTTTGTTGTAAAATTATGTATTAATCAGTTTAATTCTTTTTAAGATTATTTTTTAATATGTTATTCCAAGGTACTGACATTGGAAGGAGCAGTTGTTGGTAAAATTACCAAACAGTGGTCCGGACTGCTGAGAGAAATGTTCACTGATGCTGACTATTTTGGTATAACGTTCCCGATGGATCTTGACGTCAAGATAAAAGCAGTCATGCTTGGAGCCTGCTTTCTTATCGTTAGTATTTCAATTTTTTTTTTTAAATTCCTAAACTTTAAAACAACGAGTTATTTTTTATTCAATAGCGGCATAATAAACTGAAACTCAAAAGGAAATAAAAACATATTTAAAGGCAGAAAATGGTTGTTAGCAGATTTGATTGATTTCATTATTTAATCTATTACCAGAGCTAAATTATTCAAAATAAAAGATAACTCCGGGCCCGGAGGACCAAATTATGCTAAGCTCCCTCTTAGTTTAAATCAAACTTCGAATGAAGCCTAGCTATGATTTGAATTAAGTCAATTTTAATTCAATAAAAAAAAGTGGACTGTATAGCTTGAACATTTATTTTTAAATATTTACATTTACCAAGAAAATAAAATAACAACTTCTAATAAATGTACATAAAGATTGGCTGGAAATAACTATAAACAAAAACAATTATGAAATATTTAATAAAATAAAATGATATTTGACTATAAAAATGAAATAAAGTAATGATAGGTAACTGGCCCAAAATCACAATTAATAATGGAAAAAAATTAACAACTATATTAATCATAAAGTAAAAATTATACAAAACTAAACAAAAAAAAAACAATAAAAATTAAACGACTTTACGTGGTCGCAAGCAGGTGACAGTCGTAGAAATGGACGAACCGCTGGCACTGCAATCCTTCTTCAGCGACTAAATGTAGGTTTATTATGAGTGTTCATATAATTAAAACTGCAAATGGGCAGTGGCGAGCAGGACAAGAGAAGTATGTCTCTTCACAGTAGAACTGCAGTGAGCAGTAAATTAATGCCAACAACAAATCAGCTCAGTAAATTTAGGATTTGAAATAAAAATAATTCCTAATTGGCTCTAAAGGTGGGGTATATTTCCTCATCAAATGCAGAACAAATCAAATCATGAAAAGTTTCCTAATTTTTCATGTCCACTTCTATCCAAAATGGTGGGTCAAAGATGGCCATCTAGCACTATCTGTATCATGTTATTTTTCCTCACATCTCTGTCAGGTGTTCTTGAATTCTGGAAGTATTTATATAATCATCAAGTTTTACATTCCTTCGAGGTTTAGCTTACAGGAAAACAATGAACTAGAAGGAGATGGCATGGAACAAGTTATCCCATAAAAATTTTCTAGGTTTTCAATCTGAGAGACCGATGAAACAACAAAGTAATGGGAAAAATATGGTACCGACTATAAAAAGTATAGTTCCAAAATACTACTATGTTTATAATTTTAGTTTCACTTATAGCGATTTTAAAAGAGGAGAACAATTAAATAATTCGGAAGGAGAGAATGTGACTACCTCCTTGGTGAAACAAATATAGAACCTGAAAAAGTTGTAGTTAAAATTAAAAGTTAAATTATAAATCTACAATTCAACCGTTATGTTATTTTCGGGTATATATTAGTTAAAAAAAAAAAAATTATTCATTCTGTGTTGTTCATATTCCTTCCAGAAAAAAATACTAGAATATGAGGAAGAATTCCATTCAGGAGAAAATTGCTAGTATATAATTGAAAAAAATGATTCATTCTGAGCTGTTCATATGTTTTCCAGAATTAAAGCATTATCATTAGAAATGACTTGAATATGAGGGAGAATTCCAGTCAGGACAAAATCGTTGCTATATAATTCAAAACATTTTTTTTTTTTAAACTTAATAATACTCACACTCAAAATTGAAATATTGATGTTAAGATTTTTTTACGAATATCTCAATAAAAATAGGATAAAGCTGATTGGGAAAAAATCTTCATGTTTTAGAATTTGATTAATTTTTATAGCATTAAAAACTAACTCAATCAAAGTTGTCAAAGAAAATTAGAACCAATCATAACTATCTATGCAGTCCGAATTTTCCAACTCCGAATTCATGTTTAAGATCTCGACCATTTTATTAAAAATAACAAATCTCCACCACTTTTCAGCAAAAAAAAAGAAATTGTTTTTCAACATTCCTCTTGCCTGAGATTACAAAAAACATAGGAAATTATATTGCTTCCTCACTTTCTCTACTGAAGGTAGAGAAGCATTGTATTTGTGCGAGAGGTTAAAAAAAAATTTTGTGCTTACAATCGAAAATTTCCACTTGCGTTTTACATTTCAGACATCAGGGATCAAATTTGGTCTATCTGTAGTCAAATTGATGTGACGCCCACATCACCTACTATCTTATATCCGATTTTCATGAAATTTTCTGGGATTTTGTGGGTTGGTGTCTAGATGGTCCCATATCAATAGAACCATTTCCGCTTGCGCACGCATAAATGTATTTTCAAAGATATGCCAATATTTCAGAAACAGCTCATTTGATTTGGCTTAAAATTAAAATAAAGGTGGGTTTTGTTAAAATAATGATTCTATATCGATTTTATTGAATTCTGTCATTTACTTTCTCTTATATATGCGCAAACGGGTTTTCCTTGATACGCCTATATCTCTAAAACTGTTAGTTCGATTTGACCCAAATTTGGAGAGAAGTTACGAATTAGTTAACAGGTAATCAAATCAGTATCAATTTTATCAAATTCTATTCACTACTCTAAACAAAAAAAGAATTCCTCTTTCTGACCAGTAAACGTATAATTTGCCACCCCTATAGTTTTAATACGGCTTATTCAATTTGACTTCAACTTAGAGGAAATGAGGAGAATATTTCAGAAATTGTCTAGTATAAATTTCATTTAATTCCACTCAATAATTAAAATTAATATAAATAACTGTTAACAATATAATGGCTGCGAAATGTACTGGCACTGATCATATGAAGTGAGAGTAAGTTTAAGACAATATTTTTATGAGATTATAAAATTTTAGGTTTTATTTAAAAAGTTAATTTATACTGTATTGTTTAGTGCATTCCAAACCAAATGGCATGACACTTACTGCTATTACTTAGATTTCGTGTAATATTCAGTAAATTTAAATTAATTTTTACTCTGAGTTTGGTCTCGATTTCCTCCGTAAATTTCAAAGTTGTGTGAACTTCAAGCTTATTTTTATATTCTAGCTTAATTAGTTTTGTTCTGAATGAAGAAAAGTATTGGTCTCGTTATCTCCGAACAAACAAGAAGTTGAATTTTTCCTATGAATGTTTTGTTCCATCCATTTTACAAGTGAAAAAAAAAAATATATATACTTAATAAGTATATATTACTAATGTTAGTAATAGTATGCAAAAGGTAGTATGTAAAAATTTTCAACTTTTATTCAATTTTGTCAAAGGTGACATTTTGTAGCCTGCAACGGATATAAGCAGTCTGCTATAATGGAAAATAGCAGAGGGCAATAAAATAAATCATAAAAAAACTATTCTTTTATGCTCTTATTTAAAACACTCAATTTTTACATACGATCCATTTGCACTAACATTAGTGATATTCATGTTGAGTATGCACTGGAATTTTTATTATTAATCACTATCAAGTATACAATCAGCAAATACGGAACTCTTTCGCATTTCAGTATTCGCTGTTGAATGAAACTCGTGGATATCAGACCTGTTTATGTTGGTGGATTACTAAATTTCCGAAAACGGCTTCTTCCAGAGATTTCATTCTCATATGAAAATTTTTAGACCTTGTAATATAGATATTTTTTAGACAATGAAAACGGTGAGGAAGCTATACTGATTTGTCAATACTTTGAAAGTTATGAGGCGTAAGAAAATTAGAATCAAGACAATTTTGATTTTTTACATCAAATAGATTAATTTACAGCTTGTTTATCATTTTTTATCAGGTGTATGTCAATGGAATCCGAAACAAGCATCATCGTCGATTATATAAGTACTTCAAGAATTCAAGAACATCTGACAGAGATTTGAGGGAAAACAACAAAAGACAGATAGTACTTGGCGGCCATCTTCAACCCGCCATATTGGATTGAAGTGGATATGGAAAATTAGGAGACTTTTTATGATTTGTTCTACATTCCATGAGGGCCTAATTCCCACATTTACAGCCAATTATGAATTATTTTGATAACAGCCCTGTTTTTGGCCTAAATTTACTTAGCTATAATATACAAAAGAGAGAGCTATTTTTTTACCTCGTCAAAGCTTGACCATGAAAATTAACTAACTGGATAACAAATAGAAAATATCTTACTACAGTATGTCGTTAAAAAAAAGAAAGAGATTTTGTATTTCAAGTTTTTCAATATCCTTAATAGTACTTGGAATTTTCTTTTATTTAGAAAACATAAGAAAAAAAGAAAGACTGAATAATTGGCTGTATAAAAAAAATTTATCATTTTTCGACAAAAAATTAATATATTTTTTCTTTAATGTATCATATAATTAATATTCAAAATATAATCGTTTATGGAGCACTATCGTTTCCTATCTTTCAGCCAGTTGCTTGATCCCATGCAGGTACCATTCTTTCGAAAAATTCCTGACCCACTGTTTCGACTTTGTGAAATGTATTCAATTTTTTTCCTTTCAAGAAGTGGGCCATGGATCGAAACAAATAAAAATCTGACAAAGCAAGTTGCGTACTGTTGCCTTGGATGGCATCAAGATTTTTAAAAACTAAATTAGAAGAGTATTAATATATTTATTTATCCCAGGTGTGGGTTACTGACAATCAGATCCACTCAGACAAACTATTATTATTTACACGATTTTTATTAAAATTAAACATTGATTTTAAAATACAGTCAAGTATGAATTGACAAGCTAACCTTTTTTCTATATTATATGTTTCTTCCTTAATGACACTGAACTTATTTGTCTTCACATTTTCTTATGTTCTGCCAAACACACATCCCAAAATGGTAACACTATTCTTCCATTCAACTCAATCTCTCTGGGAAATCCTCTCTCTTGGAATTCCAAACAACTATTCTTCCTGCCAAACAAGATCTTCTAAGATGGTAAAACTATTACTGGGTTTTACCCACTGGAGCCAGGATAGGATATCTTCTCTTAACATCTCTTCACTGCAGTCATACAAAAACTGCTTGCCAAAACAAAAATCTTTCTCCCTCTCCTCTTTGGGATTTTCCTTCTTGGGAAACTACAGAGAAGCCATTTTCTTTTCCCTGAACTAGTAGAACTAGATTAGCTTGACTTTTAATTGTTCAACATTAATTTATTTTAAACCCTTTTTACTCACTTCTAATAAAGGTGTACATTACAATATATTTAAAGAAATCTTTATTTAAAGTTATAATAAAATCTTATTGATCATTTTTCCAAAATGACAGCATTTCTGTCCTTGATATTTTATGGAAAGATCAGTTGCAACTATGAGAACATAAAAACTTGTGTTTATTTTTTATTACTTTTTTTTCATTCCCAAGTTAAATTATATTTTATATTCTATAATCGTTCCAGTCAAAAGTCCTTCAGAAAATTGTAGATGCACTCTTTTATGTTTCAAACCTCACGTTATACACTGACCTTAACATTCCTTTCATCACGGCAACTGCCACTGACCGCTTTAATAATTTTCATCACAGACTGACTCTAAATTCGAATCCACTTACTCAAGCTCTATCTACTGCCACAAATCTGTATAATCCTCCCAGAAGACTGCTGAGGCGCTGGCCAAGAGACTTATTGCATTGAGCTACTAGCTGCATTATCTTTTTTTTTTTTGTGTGTTATGTATGTGTTATTTTATTACTGTTTTTTTTTTTTTTTTGTCTTTTTTTTTGTAATTACTATAATTCTTTTATGCTATCATTTCTTCTCCTTGATATCATATTTGCTGAATACCGAGGTAGATGGCAAATTTATTGTGAGTCAGGAATATGTATAACTAATAAATATTCTATAATCCAGTATTTTAATCATTAACCATTTAATAAAATTTTCAGGATTATATGTTCTTCGAAAAGAAAGGCAATAATGAGAGGGACCGACCAGGAATGTTTTAAATTTTCAACCAGGTATAATCATATAATTAATATACATATAATTGTTCTTGTACTACAAACCATGTTAACTATAACTAAGCGTACAAAATGTCTAAATTACATTCATCGTCATCAGATTAACAAATAAGCTATTCTAGAGTGATAGAATCTCAGTAACATTGTATGATCTGTCTACTGATAAGGCTGATTAGCTAACATTTATTTTTGTGGGAGGATTATTTTTTTAAGCAGCTCAACAAAATGTTGAAGGAAAGATAGAGGTATGTATTAGTTGTTTTCTTCTTAACCAAAGATTGTACTTCCATCTTTTTAGGATATACTATCTTCCTCGTTAGGTTTACATTCACATTTTAAAGTATTGTTAAAGTATTTTTATTCATTTTTGTCCACACAAATTCTAGGTGCTATTAATGATATTCTCAAATTATATTATTCAAAATTTATTTTATCTATCATCTTTGTGCGTATATATATTGTTATGTATAATATTTTTTTAAATATGTAATCAATAAAATTTTTATGTATCGTTTGTTATTAACTATGTTGTTTTGTTTTATATATTCTATAAGAAAAAAATACTGTTAATTATTAAAAGTTTTATAATCAAAAGTTAATTGAAAATACATGAATGTATTGCTTTTCATATTTTTCATGATGCATTTTTACTCACTGTATTCGTTTGTTAGGTTATAGGGAAGTGTCTTTGAAAAATCACTTTTTTGAAATATGCCTAAGATATTATAAACTCTTATTAAGTGTTATCACTGTATGATTATTAACTAAGTATGGATGTTCTTGTGTTTTAAGTTGATTTGTCATGCTTAAATGTATCGTCTGATTCAATAAAAGCATTGTTGAATTAACTTGTTCTTAATGTTATTATTATACTATTCATAGTGCTACACATAAGATTTTAATTAATAACAAATTATAAACTTATAATAAATAAATATATGGTTATCTGCAGAAACTGTGACAATTTTGGTGATATCGATGTAGAAGAGTATATGTTTGAACACGTAGAGAAGTTAAGGTATCTAGGGTCTATGATAACTAGAAAAAACAAATTGAAGAGGAGATTAACCTGCTAACTCTTTCAGTATGTCTTACTCACGTTATTTCATATTATGGGTGATAAATAGTCAGGATGCAGTCATACATATTTTTTTATTTGTGCCAACGTTTCAACCCAAACATGTGGGTTCGAGCACTGAAGGCTTTCAAGTACTGCTTTCAGTACTCGAATCATGCCCTGAAGATGACCCACATGTTTGGGTTGAAACGGCACAAATAAAAAAAATTGTATAATGACTGCGTCCTGACTATTTATCACCCATGATATGTAGAACAGTCAACTAACTTCCTTCAGTAATTTCATATTATTACTTTTTTTTATTTATGCTTAAAATAAATGAAAAGACTATGAAATATAGATGTCTTCGTTTATTTATATATATAGCACAAAGGAAAATATAAAATTACGAACAAATAAAAAAGAATACCAACAAAAATATGGAAATATCTAATGAAGAAATTATAAATTTTACAAACAATTATAAAGAGTACAAAAAATATATATATTTTTATTTAGATACAAAATAAAAAATATAAAAAATTAACAATTACAGAACAATAAACAAAAGCACATAAATAAAATAGAAATATTGAGTTTAAAAAATTAAAATGTATATATATATGAAAATTCAAAACTCAATTTCCATGTAATATATTTTAAAACAATTTTCTCTGCGTCTTAAATTCATGTCGAAACATGTATCAATGACTAATACCTTTGTTGTACAAAACTAGATGTCTCATCCGTTCCAGGGTGCAACACATATTTCAAGGACATATTCATACGTCCTACCCGTACATGGTAGAGTTTACGTTTGACTACTTGTCTTGCATCTCCTGTCCCGAAACTTAAAAATTAGAATTTGCAAAACCATTATCCTAAATTTTTTTTTTTTTAAATAAAGTATTGCTTAGAATACCCGAACCGAAGAAGAATAATCAATGAGAGAATTTTGATGGTTACATAATGCCGAATTGCATGAACTGTATCCAGTTAATATAGTTGAGGTGATTACATTACAGTGAATAAGATGGACTTGTAAAATTGTTGGACTTAGTAACAAAAGAATCCCCAAAAGGTTATTATTTGTTGTGCCGATTGGTAATTATCCGAGAGGTAGATTGAAGAGAAGGTGAGGAGATTGCGTTAAGATTGATCTGGCTGGTTTGGATAGGTTCGCTAAACCTTTTATTATTATTATTATTATCATAGTTCAATACTCAATTACTCTAATTCTTTAATGAATCTTTTCTTCAATCTCTGTTATTTGCTGCACTTGTTTCTTGCAATTACAAATATTTTTATTTAATTGATCCGATTTTCTTAATTAATATAAATATTTCCTTCTTTTTCAAAGAACATTATGGTTTATGCGCAGTTCAGTATTTATCGTATTTCAATAACTTTAATGATTATATCTTTAATAATTTATAACAGATAAAATTACTAAAACCAATTATTTATTTTATTTTGTTTCTCATATTTGTCTTTATTTTTATTCATTCAATTAATTCAAATCTTGTTTCCACCATTTCGCACGTTTCTCCTTTCAAATTATGCCATTAAAACGCCTGCACCCAATCCTAGATTCTAATCACATAATCCCAGATCACCAATTTGGATTCCGCCCCTCCCATTCCACTATACAGCAATGCCATCGTGTGGTAGACGTAGTATCCTCTGCATTGGAGCGCAGTATGTACTGTACGGGAGTCTTTCTCGACGTTGAACAGGCGTTTGATAGAGTTTGGCATCCGGGACTGCTGTACAAACTCTGAAAATTCCTACCATCTACATACTTCCTCATTATCCATTCCTACCTTACTGATAGATACTTTAAAGTAAATCACAACAATGTCTATACATCCCGCTTTTCCCAGTGTGCAGGTGTTCCTCAAGGTAGTATCCTAGGTCCTATCCTTTACACAGTTTATACAGCTGACATCCCAACCCATCCCAACACTGTCATCACCACATATGCTGATGACACATGTATTCTATCAGTTAATAACGACCCATATATTGCATCCCAAACCCTTCAATCCCACATCACAAACCTTGAAGAGTGGTGTCAGAACTGGAGAATTAAAATAAATTCCAATAAATCCCATCAAATTACCTTCACCCTTCGTCTTAAACCAATGACTTCCTGTCCTTCAGTATCCTTTAACAACACCTCACTTATTCCTGTTGAACAAATTCGTTACCTAGGACTCCATCTGGACAAACGTCTAACTTGGAATCCTCATACCAGACTGAAACGACAAGAAACAGCTCGACGTTTCCTACTACTTCAACACTTACTAGACAAACGCTCTAACCTTCCAATCAATTATAAAAGACTCATTTACATGACTATAATAAGGTCTATTTGGACTTACGGAGTTGAGCTATGGGGCTCCACCAAACCTTCAAAATTCCTCTCGCATCCAACCCTTACAATCCAAAATCCTTCGTAAAATCCTCAATGCTCCTTACTTTGTTACAAATAAAATTATCCATAATGACCTTAATGTTCCTTATGTATCAGATTTGGCCCAATCCAGATATCTGTCCTTCCATAATAAACTTCATAACCATCCCAACCCTCTTGTCTCTAACCTTGCTTCCTATTCCATTCCTGATAACCCTCCGAGGCGTCTGAAAGGAAGATGGCCACGTGATCTTCTAATATAGACTTATTATTAGAGTGCTACCAATGGTTAGTTTCTCAACATGTGTTCCATGTCATTATATCCATGTGCGAATTTACCAGATGTATTTTTTGTATACAGTTGTAAATATATAAATAAATAAATAAAAAATAAAAAAATTATGCCAGCTATATCAAAATTAAAAAGGATCTAGCAAAGTATATTCCAATATAAATATCATAAGATTCATCATACATGATGATCAATTCTAATTACAAAAACTTCTTAGAGAGGATGCTTTCAATTCAGAGGAGCAGTTTGTTCCGTTTTAGTTGTAGAGGTAAAATTTATTTGGAAATAAATTTATAGTAATTTTTCTTAAAGAAGGTTTCTATAAGGGCACTGAGGGCCAAATTGATGAAGGAGACATGGTTCTACATTTTAACAGAAAGCGAATTCCCTCAACTGATATCTCAATGTAACTACCCACACTTTAAAAGCTTTGTGTGCAGGTTGAAAGAAGCTGGACCTAACCCACTTCTCCTTGGGTAGGCATAAAGCAACAGTATCTGTAAGACGGCCGAACAGGACAGGAGAAGAAGATGGAGGAAGAAAAATGAATCAAAGCAAGCTGAGTGCACAGTAATTTCTTACGATGTAAAAAGATAAATTTGAAGCAGTTATTTGTAATGCAGGAATGTGTATCAAGTCACTGCTACAAACTCCCTTATTGCTTTAGTGGCAGAATAAGGAGGAAAATAAAACAAATAATCTTTCTGATCGGAGGTAATGAAATAATTAAGGCTATTCAAACTTAATATGCATATAACTTAAAAAAAAAATCTGATAATTTTATAACAAAATAATCATAAAAACTAGGTACTAATTTAAAAAATGATAAAATCTAATTTTATTTATTTTTTTAAAAACTAAAATGGAAAGCAAATTAATCTTTAATTATTAAATTTTTGTTGTGAACAATATTATAATGCTATACATTTGTTAGAGCTCGCATATTATCTGGATTACTTCGGTAACATTTAATAAGATAATTGATACGATTTTGCAACTCTGGATCTGTTTCGATTGTGTAAGGAACTTGTTCAGCAGGCGTGGGATCAATTTTTTTGTTTTCAGATTTAAATAACATTTTTTCTAAGATAGAATAAGCATCTGATAGTCTGTGCAAGATAAACGAAGACTCCGGGTGGCTTTCCTCACTCAAAGATTTCAATTCTACGGACTTATCATTCATAAACGATGCTATTTGTAAAGGCTTAATTAACACTTGGCACGTAGTTTCTTCGATAAGCTTCTTCACTTGAAAAAGATTTAGTTTGACGATGAGGTCTTTATCGGGAGGATCCACAGTCATATCTACTGAGAAAACAGATACATCACGGCTCAAGGCTGGAGACATTTCCTCGGATCTTTCGACTTCGTTGATTTTATCAGCTGATTTGCTAGTTATACTTCCCATTTCATTATCCTGTAACAAATGAATTGATCAAATATCACGTAGTAATATTTAGTATATGTTAGTGTATTGTCAACTAAAAAATGTTTTGGATTACTATATTTAATATTGAACTTTAGTTATTATCCATACCTTATGTATTTTAATAACTCATAAAAACGATGTAATATTGTAAATTTGATCAAATTCCGAACATGGGCTGTAATAAATTATTATAAAAAATATTGTAATAATTTTAGGGTACTTGTGAGCGACGGGGCCTCTATGGACTGCTATCTGCAATTATCTTGTTATTTATATTTCTTATTATTAAATTAATATATTATTATTATTATATTTATATTTCTTATTAATATATATTAATAAGAAACAGGCAAAAAAGAGGCAACATCAAATATATTTATATTTATTATTATACGAGAGTCTAATTTCATATCAAAATAGGGATTATCAGTGCCTTATAACAATTATCAGTGTTCAGATTATAAACATTTAATAATAAGAAATATAAATAACAACAACAACACTTTAAATTACAAGATAACTGCAGATAGCAGTCCATAGAGGCCACTCTGCTCACAAGTACCGATTTTAGAATAGAATTGTATAGAATATAACTTTATTCTGGTTCAAAGTCCCTTCAGAATATCAAAATAGTACAAAGTTAAAATATTACAT